CGGGATCGACACCCGCCCGCCCATGGGCGGGACTCTATTGGTGGGGCAGGTGCCAACGGTCTAGCACTCGGCGAGGCGCCGCTCGGCGACCTGCTTCCCGAGGACGGCCATGACCGTGGCGATGGGCGCGCCGGCTGGCGACCCGGTGAGCAGGCTGCGCAGGCCCTGCAGGAGGTCCTTCTGCTTGAGGGGCCCGGCGCCGGCCGGCAGCCGGGGATCGTCGGCCGGCAGCCGGGCCTTCAGGCACGCGGACAGGGCCTTCTCGTCGGCGAAGTCCGGCAGCCGGGCCAGCTCCGGGAGGACGGCGTGGCGGATGGTGGCTGGGCAGCCCCCCCGGGCCGGGGGCGGGGGAGCAAAAAGGAGAAGAAGAAAGAGCGGAATGGGTGTCAAAGGCCGGCCCCCGGGCATGGTGTGGCAGGCAAACAACAACAACAGCAAAAAAAAAAAAAGAGGCGGGCGGCGAAGCGAGGTCAGGGCCGAGGGGAGCGGGGCACGTACCGGCCACGGCCGGGGCCAGGGTCGCCCGGATGGCGGCCACCTGCTCGGGCGACGCCTCGCGGAAGAAGTACCGATACGTGGAGGACACATCTCCAAGGAGGGCGATGCGGTCGGTGACGATGGCCGCCACCACGCGGAGGACATACTCCCGGTCGACGGCGGCCCCCGGGGCCTCGGGGATGGGGCGGGTCCAGTGCTCGGCGGTGGTGGCGGCCGCATCGGCCGGGCCATCGAGCGCCGCCCCGGCCAGATGGTCGAGCACGATGTCGGCCAGGCGCCGGAGCCCCTCCGGCGTGGCCGCCAGCCGGAGGATGTGCTGGCGGTTGAACCAGTTGAGCTTCTCCACCGACACGACCGCCGAGCCGCGGTTGATGTCACGCACATCGAACTGTGCCATGGCGGTGCCCCATCGGGGGGGGGGGGGGGGGAGTCAGTGCCTGTCCGAAGGCAGGCGCTGCTGCAGGGTGCGCGCATGGGCGCGCGATGGGGGCAGGCCTGGACGTACGATCTGCACCAGCTCCTCCAGGGAGAACACCTCCCGGGTGTGCTGCTCCGGGTCGGCGTCGCTGCGGGGGGGAGTCCAGCCGAGCATGGCCACGAAGTTGACCACCGCCTCCGGCAGGTAGTTGGCCTCCAGGGCGGCCACATTGCCAGCGGCGTGGCGCTTGGACAGCTTGGCCCGGTGCTCGTCCAGCAGCAGCGGGAGATGCGCGAAGCGCGGGGGGGTCCACCCGAAGGCGTGGTACAGGAGGATGTGCTTCGGCGTGGAGGAGAGCCATTCCTGCGTGCGTGTGTGTGTGTGTGGCGGGGGCCCGGCAGACGAGCCGGGCCCGGCGGCCGACGGTCAGCATCCGGTGGACAGGCCGCGAGGCTGGTCCGCGCAGGGCCCGAGGGGACTGGCCGTACCTCGCCGCGCAGGACATGCGTGATGCCCATGTGGTGGTCGTCCACCACATTGGCCAGGTGATACGTGGGGTAGGCGTCGCTCTTCAGGAGGATCTGGTCGTCGACCTGGGCATGGTCGATCTCGATGCGCCCATACACCAGGTCGTTGATGACTGTCTTACCCGGGGGGACCTGCGCCAGGAGGGGAAGCGGGGCCGGGGGGTCATAGCCGGTCGGGCACACCCCGGTCAGTCGGGTGCGCGCGCGCGCGCGGAAGCGTCCGAATGGGGTGGCAGCGAGCGAGGAGGAAAAGCACGCACCGCCAGGCGCACGGTGTGCGCCTCGCCGGCCTGCGCCCGACGCCGGGACTCCTCCGGCGACAGGGACAGGCAGTGCCGGTCGTACGAAAGCCCGGCCTGGGAGGAGCCCTGCTTGGCGGCGGCCGCCTGGGCCCAGGCGCGCATCTGGTCCAGGCGCTCCGGCGTGCAGAAGCACCGGTACGCATGGCCGGACTCCAGCAGCCGGTCCACATGCTCCCGGTAGAGCCCGGTGCGCAGGGACTGGTGGTAGGGGCCGCACGGCTCGGCCGGCCAGTGGGGCGCCGCTGTTTCCGGCGCCAGCGGTGCGCTGGACGCCGCCTGGCGCGCGGCCTCGCGCGCCGCCACCAGCAACTCCCCCGGGCCCTCGGTCGGCACGAGTCCCGACCAGCACAGCGACCGGGCCAGCTGCTCCCCGGCCCCGGGGACGAAGCGCGTCCGGTCGGTGTCCTCGATGCGCAGGATGAAGGAGGGCGGCAGCGCGGCGCCCGGCGAGCCGGCCGACGCCCGGCGGCTCTTCTCCGCCGACAGGAAGTTGAATAGGGCCGTGCGCAGGCCCCCCAGGTGCAGGGAGCCCGTCGGGCTGGGTGCGAAGCGGACACGGAGGGCGCTCATCGACAGGCAGGTTCAATGGGACGGGGGGCGGTGTGAGGGGGGG